GAACTCCCATATACCCCCCAGGATCCTGCTGAGGGTATAGAGCTGGTCCAGCGTTCCACAGCCAGGCCGGAAACTCTTCCTGGATTCGAAGTTCCACTATTCTACAGACCCTTCTCTCCAAAACCCCTGAACAGACTTTATCAGGGCGCCTAAGATTGTAATTACTCTGTAGTTGGAACACACTATACTTTCCCCCATTTTGACTGGGGGAACCACCACCTCGGTTTCCCAATTTAGTGGATCCATGACCATGCACATGCTATTGCAGAGTTGGGTCAACCAACACATCCCTACAACAATGTCCAGAGCCCTAAGGAACTCCGGCCGAATATAATCCTACCCTGGAGCTCTGCCAGGAGGAGGAGGAGCTTTTTAACCACATCATGTACCTCAGAACTAGAGATAAGAGAGCCCGATCCGAGGTCCCCAGGCTGTGCTTCCCCAGCAGAAAATGCAACAATGGGATTCTTGTTGAGGACCTGGTGGGATTCTACGTACACGAATTTACTTCAACCATGTGAATTTGACAGATGTCTTGCCCAATTATCATGAGCATGTTACCATTATTAAGCACAATAATAAAACACTGGATGTAGTTCTGGTTTCAATGCACAGACTGACAGATCGGTCGCAGGATACATCAGAAGTGCACTATGGAGGTCATCATTGCTAGAACGGTAATGGAGTAATGGAACTACCTTTACTGGTGCACCACTTAGCCCCTATCCTAGAGTTAGGTTAAAGAGCCCATGCTGTGTGGAATCCAACTATATTTCCTTACTAATTAAATTACAATCCATGTCCCAAGAGCTAGTTTGAAACACATAGGCCTCTGCGTTTGCATACTCCCCAAGTCACCCTCGATTTCCTCCTCAGAAGTTGTGGGCACAGGTGAAAATGGTTTCTGGTTGTTCTTTTTCTTACCTTGAGAAGCACAATGCTTAATCTCTTCTCCCCAATATAGGGCACAACAAATTAAGTGGGAAGGAACTAATAAACTTGATAAACCTCTGGAGTGCACTTTTTTATTACAAAAACAATAAACCTTCATCTCAGTTGCTGCAAGTTACCAACAAATTGCACCGTGTCATAGAAATGAAATGTCACTTAACACTCGATAGATATAACAAAAATAAACATTATCAGAGGTGACAGCAGTGGTAACATTTGTTGTATTTCAAAATATATCAGCTCATTACTTGTTTTCATCATGGAACACAGTTATGGGAGGAAAAGTGTGTGTAGAGAGGTATGTAGAGGGATGAGACATGTCTAACATATTTGTAACAGCAACTCTATAATGAGGAGGGCTAGTGTGGCTACAGAGAAATACGTCAGTGACGGACAGGCATAGTCATCAAATGAGTAAAAAACAAACACAGTGGTCACATGACTAATTTTCAGATGACTAGCAGACCTTCAGTGATGTGTTTGTGTGTGTGTGTGTCTTCTGAGGAAGAGAACTCAGTGAAAATGCTAAAAAAACGTGAGTGCATCTGAGGAGGCTGAGCAATAATTGCGCTGCATGTGGCCACACTCCACATGCTGTGTGGATGAGTTATCATGCTCCAGTCACCACTTCTGGTCCTCCTTCTTCTCAGTCATCAGCCACACCGCTGCATCTCACGTGTCTTCCCCCTCCAAGGAATATCCTCCCACAGTCCAGCTGCTGAGTCCTGTGTTGCATTGCATTATCTCTTTGTTGTGATGTGCTGCAACATTTCAAATCAATCGAACATGACAACTGCTCTCCTGTGGGCACTGCCTGCTCCCTTGGTTATATTTGGTTTAGAATTTAACGACTGTAAGGCCTACATAGTTTGGGGTAAAGAGTCTTTAGTGGGCCAACAGTGAAAGAAGAACCTTGTGTAGGAAAAGGAGCGTGATATAGAAGATGGAGTCCAAAGTGCTCGTGATGCAGTAGTCTGGTAAAAAATAATAATAAAGGAGAAGATGAGAAAAATGCATTAGAAACAGCAACAGACTTAGCTCTTCCATCAGAATTCACTAGACCTGTGAATTTTAATTGAATTTATCCTCTCTGACAGATCAAAAAATCTCTCTATCCCTTATTCTAATTATTCTGAGCAATTTTGTATCCTTAAAATGTAATAATATTTTCAGGAAAAAGAAAAGAAAAGTCAATGCCAACCTAAATAAACTTTCACTAATAAAAGCCATTCTGAAATCCATCTATCCATTATCATTACCGCTTATTCCCTAATGGGGAATGAGTTAAAAAAAACTGTTTTTTAACTTTAGGAATCAGGACGGTAACAAAACAGCTGAGATTGTATGTCAACATATTGCAGCCAATGTAAATGAAGTGAAATCTCCAACTTAGCAAAATGCAGTTGGAATTTAATAGATGCCCTCAGGAAACAGCAACAGTAAATTCTAAATAAGATAAAACCTCTATAATAATTAAAATGGTCATGAAATAATCAATTTAACTTGTGTAACAAAAACATACTGGTGTCATACAGCTTTATTTCTCTATAATCCACAAAACAGCAACTTGGTCTTTGCCTTAGAGTTTTGCAGCACCATTTTTTGATGGTATTTTCTGATTTGAGAGTATTATTTTTGTATTTTATCATTTGGCCATTCAAATATGAAATATTCCCATTATTCACTTGTTTTTCCTTTCCTTTTTCTATTTGTGTCCCATTTAATTTTTGACATACAGCCTTTTTTACATTTTATATGGCGACATAAACTGTAAATAAGCCTTTAAATCTCTCACAAAATAGTAGGATACTTGCGCAGTCAGTTCTTTAATATCTTCTTAAGTTAAGGCGATACGAAGGCAACATTCTCTTTTAACTTTTTTTTCCCCATTATCATTAAACGAGAGCAGATAATGAGAGTCTTCCCATCAGTTAATATTCTAATCAGGTTACTTAAAAGCTGCAATCAAAACCCATGGGCTATATTCTGTGAGGTTAATAGTAATGCTAACATTAAAGAGCATTAATGAGTCATGGAGAATTGAACATGTTCATAGAAAAATGCTTTGCAGTTGTGTTGATGGTCTTCAAATAGTCAGAGGGTTGTCATTTACAGAAATTAACGTTCACAACTGGTTACAAACTCCTTGTAAATGCAACTTCCCTGTGAATCGTGCCCCCTGAACCAGATGCCAAAAGCTCTGTTAAAAGTATCGTACACATTCAGGTGAGTGTTGGAGGAGAAATAAAAATATGAGAGGCAATTCCACACATGACGGCTTATCGCTCCTCCCAGCCTGTTTTCCCCTGCCACATTAATTGTTTCTGTCACTCAGTCAGTTGACATAGCACAAAAGTGATAGACGCTTGCTGCACCCCGCTGCCTTAATGCCTCCCCCTGGAGATAAGGCAGCAGAACTAATCTCAGGTGCGTTTTGCCTTTTAACCTCCATCTGATGACAAATGCGTCCAGAAAATCAGGCGAGAAGAGATTATGAAAAACGCTGCGCTGGACATAGTTTCTATAACAAGCAAATGCAGTCTAAGAATGTTTATCATATCATATAATTTGAAACTAATTAGCTAATCACTAAAATTACATTCTGTTTGGTAATAATCTGCATTAGCAGCCCTAGAAGCATCTTAAAGGCTGGTTTGGCAACCCTGAGTAAAAATAGTCAAAATTAAAAAGAAAAATCAGGAGCATGTTGTGCTTGGTGGAGATTTGATAGTGGTTATATGAGAATGGATTTTAAAAAGCTATGGAAGTTGCAAAAATCAGTTTGCATGTCTGAATGTTATTTCCGTCTTGCCAAAACCAAATGTAACTTATGAACCAAAAAATGGATTAACCTGAGCCTGAGCTCCTCCATGTTGGCCACTTGTGAAACTTTCACCATCGTATGTCTGACAAATGGGATTCTTTGGGACGGTAAATTTCGATGGCTCCTGCATCTCTATCTGAGTTCACAGAAAAAAAGCCAAGAAAATGTTTGCACACACCGCCTTTCTTATTATCATATGAGTGAGTTGGCACTGCGTTCAGTGATGTCATTCTGCATACCACTGAACACTGGTGAAATTGCTTGTTCTCGGCATATAAGATACACAGCGGCAACAGTGAGTCTAATGAGAGTATCCCCGTTCTTCTTTACTTGTTCATGGTGCTGTTTAGTGCTAATGCTCCTGGTCAAGTCCAAAGCTTTGTCAATCCTGATACGTCTTCCATTTCACTGCACAATCTATATGACTTCATGATTTACTGTGCCTTTTGATTGCTCAAGGTCAGCATATCCTGTAGCCCAGGAATTGTTCTGTGAGGATGACTCCTTGTCAAAGATAAGACAGGAACAGCAAGCTAACCCTCTAGCCAGTCTGAGCAGACATATTTTTTTAGCTGCAAAGTGCTCCAATGCACGCTGAAGGTCCTTACCCAAAGAAGCCCACAGAACCACATCATCTGCAAAAAGACGCAATTCTGACATCCCCAAACCAGACACCCTTCTCTCTGTAACTAAGTGATCTTATCAATGAAAACCACAAACGAGATCAGTGACAAAAGGCACTTGGTGGAGTACAACGCAAACTCCATCCCCGGTGTAGTACAACACAAACTCCAGCCCCGGTGTAGTACTACACAAACTCCAGCCCCAGTGGAGTACAACACAAACTCCAGTCATAGAGTAGTACAACATAATCTCGAGCCTTAGTGTAGTACAACATAATCTCGAGCCTTAGTGTAGTACAACACAAACTCCAGCCCCTATGGAGTACAACACAAGTTCCATCCCTAGTGTAGTACAATGCATACTCCAGTCCCAGTGGAGTACAACACAAACTCCAGCCCTGGTGCGATACAACACAAACTCCAGTCCCGGTGAAGTAAAACACTATCTGGTCCCTTTGTCATACAGGGACCGGACAGCTCGAGAAAGCGATTTCAGTTCTGCGCAATACCTCAGAATCCTACGTTTCTAGCTAACTGGACGGATGGTCAAATTCCCCGATGCAGGGTAGATTTCTGGTTCACCTTTCCACAGCCCGGGTGAAAACCACAAGACTCTTACTGAATCCAAGGTTCAACAATGGGCTAGAGCTTCTTCTCCAACATTATGACCAGAGGAAGAAAAATCAACTTAAAGCATGCACCGAGCATGGCGGGATGTGCGCGCTGAGTCTGCATGTCTGGGAGTGATGGCCTGCAAAAACGGATCCCTAGCAAACTCTGCTTATATATCACTTCACTCATTGTTGCTCGGCAGAAGCAAACATGCAACAACATCCTTATAGAGCCAATTGCAATAGCGATTGGCGCCGCCAGTAGTTGCTGCCGAGGTGGGCTCATAGTTGAGATTCGGACACATATGCAACGTACAGGTGGACCAACCAAACACTAGATGTCATGCCCTCGTCAACAGATTCAATCGGGTGGTAACAGAAACAGGTCAGCTAACTCTGGGACACTATTTTGGTTGTGACCCATGCCAGACTCAGTGAACATACTACAATCCTACATACTACAGGCTCAACTTCAAGGATAAAGAAAGCAAGCACAACTTAACATATCATAACTAAAAGAAACAATGTAAACAAGAATAAATGTGACAACAATTCCTTGAGGATCATTACAATAACAATGATAACAATCAACCTTTACTATAACCCCAGAGAAAAATCCATTGAAAAGAAAATTGTTTCCAGAGACCCTTTAGTTTTTAAACATCTCAAGATCAGACCATACAATAGGGAAACTATCTAAAAAATGAAGTATGTATCGGGCTTTACAGAACGCAGTAACCTGTTAAATATCATGACAGAACAGTTAAAAAAGACGAAACAAGGATGGCTTGTTTGAAGGGTTGTCGGAGGTACATCTAAACATGTGCTTTCGACAGAACAAACCAAAGAGAAGATGTTTGGTCAGGATGTATAGAAAACCAAGCACAACTAAGGAAACACTCCATATATCACCTTTAGGCACAGTAGTGGAGGGCTGATGATATAGGCATGCTTGCCACTGATGGTGGGGTAGATAACATCTTACATAACAGATCTTTTAGAGAAATATTCTGTCACAACTTAGACTACTTAACTAAGAATTCCAAAGAACTGAGAACATAAGAAGCACTGAGTCAGTGACGGAATCAAATTTTGATGTGAGCATTTATGTTCTGCTTATGTCATCATCCAGATGAGTCCTTACAGAGGCAGGTCACAGAACTGAACAGTGAACACGAAGCATCAAAGCGTCCCTGATTGCCGTTGGTCAGCCTTGGCTCGGAGCTACAATGCATACTGATATGGTAAAGATTAAACCCCTTTCCTAGCAAGAGACTCCAAGATGTTATTCTTCAAAATCTTGATTGATAACTTCACTGTGTGCAGTTGGTCTGTGTGGGTTCTCTTTGGGTTCTCCGGCTTCTTCCCACCATCCAAAAACCTGCATATTAGGTTGATTGGACACTCCAAATTGCCCTTAGGAGTGAGTATGAGTGTGCGTGGATGTTTGACGTTGTGTGTGGCCCTGCGATGGACTGTCGGACAGTCCAGGGTGTACCCCGCCTCTCACCCATTGACTACTAGGATAGTTTCCAGTCCCCCCCATAGCCCCATTAGGATGATGGATGGATATATATATAAAACATATCATAAATATGTTGAGCTTATTAATATGTCATACTTTTGCTTTTTTTACTCAACTAATTGTTAGGAACATTATAATAGAATCTGCTTTAACAATGATCAAGTAAATGCAAACAGTCATTTTGTAGAGGACAGGGTTTAAATTAGTCCAATGTCTATTTATGAATGTTTTAGGATGAATATCTATTTTCATTAAATGTATCTTAATGCCTTTGTTTTGCAGACATTCCTTAAACGGCAAATGGACATTAAGGTCATTAAGGAGCATATATGCTATAAGTCCCCTCCTCTGTTCCTTTGAAAGGTATCTGAATTCCTGATTTAAGTTGGGAAAACAGCTAAGCTCATAAAATACTCAACACAAACACAGAACAAACATGATTTCAACGCTAATACTCCCAGCCTCTCTAATAAGTCCCCCTCGCGACATAACGCAGACGAATGAAAAATTCACTTATTCGAGTCAACCAAAGCACAGGCCTCATGTAAGCATATGGCATTTGCATGTCTTTACCCAGCACACAGTCTGTCATTCTGCCCGAACAGGATGCTCTCTGCAGCAGCAGCATGCCTGACAAGCCTCCACAAGACAGTCTTTTACTTTTAATTATTCATAAGCACGCTTTATTGAGCAGAACTGGGGCAGAGGAAGAGCTATGACGAGGTAGATTACAGCGCTCTACCCCTCCCTTCCCTGCCTCCAACATCTGCCAAGCCGCTGGCAGAGGTATATATAAATAGGTTTTACATGGCCATAGACACTTCAGCATAAGTGTTCCATGATTGAAAGACGTTTAAGTGGTTACACTCACTTGACAGTGTGTTAAGACATGAAAGTTAATTAACTTATTCCTATAACTGCAACAATGTAACGATAGGATAAGAAAGTGATCAACATGCTTAAACTTTCAGGGGCTTTGCACCTAAAATCTGATTCTGGCTGCAAAAAAATCCAAATAAAACACTTAATATGAGAGGAAGCTAGGATAAATAAATTTGACCAGCACGTCAAAGACCTTCATAAATGGGATAGTCGAGCTGTGAAATGCAGACCGGTGAAGCAGCCAACTGTCCTGCCCAGGTGAATGTGCTTGTGTTTTTGCCACATTTTCCACAGTCGGGCTATGTGGACAACCACAAGGGGTCACTGGGGTTCTGCTACACTCCTGACACACTCACCAGCCCTATGCCAATGCCGGAGGATGGCTGCAGTCCCCAACAGCGGCGACGCTGCAGACTTGGCCATCGAGGAGGTAGTCGTGGACGATATGGAAGTGAGGAGGTCGGGCTGGGCTTTCTGGGGCAACCGGTGCTTCCCCTGCTTGGGTCTCGCAACCCCAAGGCCGGGCTTGGAGGTGGCGCTCCCTGCAGAGCCCCCACCCACAGCGGCGTTGGTGCTCCTCAGCAGCCAGCGGTTCTGAATGTGCGATACGGCCTCCTCGGCCACCATGCCGGCGCCTGGCGTGACGCGTAGCGCGGCGTGGACCGTGAACTCCTCCTCGTCGTCCTCGGCCCACAGATCGGACACGCGGCACTCGTACACGCCCTCGTCTTCTTTCTTCACCTTGGCCAGGCTGAGGCGGTGGGAGATAGCGTTGCCCTGAACACGCACCGTCTGAAACCAAAGCAGAGAGGGTGAGATATGCTAAGAAGCCGGCATGTTGCAGGGTTTCAATCCCAGCTGCTTCTGGAATGTGTTCATTGTGGGCTTAATGAGGGTGCCCTCATGCTTAATGACTGGAGGTGAAAGCAGAGGCATCAAAAATAGCACCAAGTCATGCCTGCGTATTAGCTGCTGAGCAGCTCTACACCTTAATTCTTCCAAAGCCTTAATCATTCCTAATAAGGAAGAAGTTTATCTTTAAAAAACTCATAACATGAACCTGCCAGAGCATATTTAACACTGACAGAATCTTAGAGGTCTGAATGCATGAGATTAATTGTGTAGAAGGTAGGAAGCAACTGATTTTAAAATTGGGCTTAAATTTGTATGATGATTTTAAACTTTTACTTACAGTAACAGTAAATAACAGTAAAATGCCTGTTTTGCTGGCGAGAAGTGGCCAAAACGTAATTCAAAAAAATGAATAGTGGACACTTACACTTATTTTTGTGGCTCCTCTCAAACCTCCCTGCAAAAACAAAGCATAACGCATCGTATATAGACATCAAATAAATTAAGTTATCCTAGAAAAAGACGCACATTTTCAACACTTTTCCATGTGTTTGTAGGGAGAGGAAACGGTGTGAGCGGGACCGGTTGTGTGCATGTCTCAAAGACGCCATTGACGGCATCGCTCCTTTTTCCTCCTCATCTTCTCTGCACTCATTTTCCTGACTGCGTGTGCTCAGCCCGCAGAGGAAAAGGCCACAGATGTGATTGTTCCTGACTCCTCAGACAGCGGGGGGGGGGGGGGGGTAGAATCAGGCTGATTTGTCATGCTGAAGGGGAAAACTAATTCCCACCGCGTCCTGCCACAATATCCTCTCATGGAGACATTGAGCAGCAGACCTGAGAAGAATGAAATGGATCTAGCACCCCTCCTGCTGTTTTCCTGACTGATAAACACGCTCGCGTCTGTCTTGTGAGTGAGAAGACTAACAAATACGGCCGAGGTCAGAATTCTGACAGGCTGGGTACATTGCACAATATGTCAATTTAAATATAAACAAGCACTTTACAAGGAAGCGTGGTTCACCTGATAGTCGCTTTACAGATTAATGCAAGCAGCAGATTTATGTGGACAGTGTAAATGCATGCGGTTTGCCTTCTGACATATGCAGCAAAGTGTGCCACACACATACATGGATATGCTTTTCAGCTGCTGGGTAACAAAGTGCCAACGTGTAGAGCAGATCGTGAAGATGTAGAGTACTTGTGAACTCCAGGTACCTTTGCTCTTTGCTCATGAGGCAGTTCTTTGAGGCCTGCCTCCTTGAGGTACCACCACTGAATCTCCAAAGACATGGGTACCGAGGTGGCGGCCTTGAAGGCACAGGGCATCTCCACATCCTCTCCTTCCCCTACACTCACATCTTTCGGGACTTCGGTGAACGCGGCTTTGGTGAGCAGGGAGAAACACAGAGAAGACTTTGGTTTAATTAGTGATCATGTCAAGCTCAAATCAGGTTCCACAAATCTAAAAGGCAGGCTCGGCCTGTCATTCCGCCGTTATTTGAATTAAGCTGCCCTCCTGCATTAACAGGCTTTGTAATTACATCTGCCTTGCTTTAAATTAATCTGTTCCTGATTGCAATGAGTCAAAGCTGCTCTTATCTTATGCTAATGGTCTTCTCAGGGGAAATCAAAATGTGCAGGCAGTTTAAATAGAAGCGGGATATATTTGCAACAGGGTTTTTTTTTAAGCAGGAGTATATAAAGCTCTACTTACCATTTGCACAAATGATAAATGGAAAATGTAGAATTAAATAATAGAGGAGGGTGTGGATTCCTGTAGTTTCCATGTCACCGTGAAAGCTTGACACACACACACGGTCATGAAAAGGTCATGTTTTCGACTCAGGTGAGGCGTTATCCGGTTTCTTTAAAAACACTTCCGAACGTGGACGGTAAACAACCCAACGCGAGCACAGCGGATGCGTGCGCCGCGCAACATGTAGCTGCTCCACGATCCGGAGCTTAGCCCGAGTGTCATTAAGTCCACAATTCAGCACAGGAGGATGCTTCAACCAACGGGCAGGTTTAATCCCATATTTTTACTCCCCGATGAGCTCGCCTGCAAGACGGAAAGGAACTTTGCTCCGAGCGAAAAGGGACCGATGGTCCACCGTCATCGTGCCTGGAAGTAAAAAGTCTCCCGGGGTCCTTTCAGGAACGATCCGCATCCACATCCCTGGTCATATCTTTATGTGCCTTTTTTGGACACGCATGGGGGCGGCCGGACTCCTCCAGGGTGCTGAGCAGTGGTCAGCGTCTGCGAGTGGAGCGCGCGCTCGTCCGCGTCTCAGCTCCGGCGTCCGTCACTGACCTCAAGTCCTTCCGCCGCTGGATGTTGGACAGCCTCTGCCTTTTGCGCCTCCCACTCCATCACCACGGCGCAGAGGATTCTCTCCTCTTCCTGCTCTTGACCTCCAAATACTCACAGTTTTTTCTTTTCTTTTCTTTATTTCACTCATGAATACGCACAGGCTTTCATGAGGAATAGAGAACGATGCGGATTAACTTTAAACTGAGATATATAGTCCAGATCATTTGAAAAGAGGATCAGTTGGAAGCTTATTTTATCTTAAATCCCTATTTGAATACCAAGCTGGTCCCTGAGAACCATTTTGGTGCCCCAGAGGAAAAGTGGCAGCTTTTAAGATGGAGCAAACACATTCCATTTTCTTTTTTGTGCAGATTTTACTTAATATTTTTTATAATAATACGATTATGAACGATTTACAAATACTGACTTTTGCCCTAACATGGAAAAGTATTAAATTATAACTCAACAGCCAATTTGATCATTTCTAAGTGTTCTCATTTTATGTAAAATGGACATAATACCTGTAATTAAAAATGAACACATCTGAAATGATAAGAATTGCATTATGGTACTGATGTTATAATTTTGTCATATATAAGTGCACATTTAAAACACAACTTTGTGTGTACAGACGGTGGTGGTTCTCACAAGAGAGATACAACTGCAGTGATTAACTGAAGAAAAACCCAAATTTGAATAATTTCAGCCATTCAGAGTTACTGGATACTCACAGATATTAAATTCCATGTATTTTCCCATCATTGAAAATGACTTATTTTAAAGGGGCAAAAAGAAAAGTGCTTTGAATATGCACTGATAAAATCTAAAAACGAGTGTGTACAATGCATCCATCTGCTGCAACAGGATGGGGATTGAAAGGACAGGAAAGAGAGCTCAATGATTAAGTTCAGTTAGTTTTATTCACATAGCAATAAATGATAATACATGTCATCCTAAGGTACTTAAATGTCCAAGTCAAGTCGATTAAAGTCAATTCACTGGAACACAATTAAGTTAAGTCAATTCAAAGTTATTTTTAAAAAGTTGATGGCCTAAAGAAACCAACAGAAACCATTAAACTATCTATTCAAATCAATCACCCAACAATAATGTCACATGCACATGGAAAAGGAAAGAGAATAGTGGGACTGGAGGTGCATCATGGGAGATCCCTCACCAACCTGGCCTACAGCAGCATAACTATGGGATGTTTCAGGGTCAACTGAGCTCTACACCTATATACACATACACAGATGATAATAACAAAATTAAATGAAATAAAAGGGCATGTTTTCAAGGATAGTTGTGTACATACACAGTATGTAAAATACTTTCATAAGATCTTCAAAAATTGTTGTAATCTGTGACGTAGTGGTTACACTGAAAAATAGACAAATAATACTTTTATTCCTTGAAGGCCTGCAAACTCCTGGGTTAGCTGCAAATGCGGAGAGGGGCTGTGTTCCTGTCTGTAAGAAACCATGGAAAGCGAAGTGGCAATTCAAGTAAAGTGTTTACCATAAGTATCGATATTGTTGCAAATGTGTATCTTATTAGATACCTTTTATTAGGACCTATTTGTGTATGTGGGTATCAAAATTATAGCATCATTTGTCTCAAGGAGGTGTTTTCAGAACAGAAAAAGGACTGTCAGCAGGAGATGAAATACAAATAGGTTGATTGGCAATGATCTGTTTTTCAGGAAGAAGCCAACAAGGTTTGTAGATTTGTTTTTCAAAAGATTGAGTAAGAGGAATGAGTTTCAGCAGGTGATTGAGTAGATCTGCCAGATAGCAGCGTGGCGGGGTAGTTCATGAATAGCATTAATAAGGCATAACTGTATCTTCTTGTGCAAATACAGAAATATCTTATTTGTTTCAGTTCCTTCATAATATCCAACCCCTACCTGTCTTGGCAGGGACCGGGTATTGTCTTGTTTTTTGCAAATACAGAGTCCTTTTAAATTTGATGCTAGTAATTACTTTTTTTTAAAAGGTCATAATGGTCTGGGATGTCTGGGATTATTGAATAACTGGTCATAAATAAGTCATTAACATTGTACTCTAATTATAACAACTATTACACTATGATTCCTGTTTTAACCAGTGAGCAGTGCTGACCAACATGTGATTGGGGTCATCAGGTGGGAACCTCTTTTCATGTTTCGTCCAGTTGGGCCAACGACACCTCGAGGAGGCTGGACCATTGGTGACTAGGAGTCACTCCTCTAATTCGAGCCATCACTGCTCCTCATGCTCGACAGCTATGTCTTCTACCACCGAGGTTCAAGTCACAGATGAGTCAAACCACCTGCACCAGTAAAATTTTGGGAGAGGGCAGAAATATGAGTTAAAGATACAACACTGGACTCAAACCCTGGTTCTGGTAGGGGGTAATGAAAGTATAGAGGGTCCAGGAGGTGGAGACAGCAGAAGAAACACTAGCAGACTCAGCAAGCAAATTCATCCAGCCATCAATGCCAAACTGTCCTAAGAAAAATCACTCATACTGATGCTAAACTGTCATAAAAAAATAACTATTATCAGTGCTAAACTTTCCAAAGGAAAATAACTCTTACCAGTGCTAAACTGTCCCAAAATAACTGCTACCAAGACTAAACAGTCCTTAAGAAACTGCAATCAATGATAAACAGTTCTTAAAAACCTGCCACCAATGTTAACTCCTAAAACATAGTTGCTGTTAAACAAATAAGCTTAACTCACCTAAGCCAGTTGGTTTGAATGGCTAATGCAGAATGTATCCTTTTCCTTTGAACACTTCCTCTTCCCAGATTTCTACTTCAATTTCTGCTTCGATTTTGACTATTGCTTCATCTAATCATACTCCACTGACTGGACCTTACTATTTTGTATTACACATCCCTCACTATTTTCTTCACATTCTGTCCACTACCACTCAACTCCATCAACAATCAGAAATCCGACTTTGGAAAAAATCCTCTACATCCGACTTCCACTGGACAAATCCCATCCCATACGTTCATTCTACTAACCCGCCCCAAGGAACAATCATCTCTATGAAATAGACTTTCATTCTACTTTTAGACCACAAGACTATATCTGGCCTTAGACTTGTAGAGGCTATTCTACCAATTTTCTTTCTAAATGTACCTGCATCTCCCAGTCTAAAGTACCCTCCAAGCCAGCTGGGGGTACTCTTACCCATAGTGGTATGAGAGTTAAATGCTTTCCATCATAGGGATGTAAAAGCATTTCATATTTTATTTCTCAGACAGTGGCTTAATATCAGTCATTCGCCAGACACATGCGCTGTGCCCTGAGATGTGTAATGCTTAATGAATACAAAATTGAGCCAACCTTTTGTTAACCAAAAGAGTAAAAAATGGATGAATAATGGCTGCATGTGGAATAGACTGGAGCAAGGCCATGCACCTGCAAGATGCTGAGAGATAGGATTAGAGAAAAATCACAGTGCACAAAAGCAGCCAGAGTCAAATATGGACAAATGGCCAAAACATCGCATTGATCTCGATTCAGGAGAGAGTTCAGCAGAGTCCAAGAAACACAACAAAAAGGTCAAATTTTCAGATAGGCTACACGGTGAGAATTATTTTGTATCGATTCACTTCTATATCTGTGGACCTGTCGCATCCTTAATGATTATTTTGCTGGGAAATCCTGGCAAATGAAGCTGGCACATTTACAGCAGCACCAGAGCACCAAAGACGCAGAAAGTATTAGTAAAACCGAGACTTTTTTGAAGTTGTTGGAATTTAGGCCAGGGCTTTATCAAACAGAGCACTGGAGGCATCTTACTTTTATAAAAGCCTCACTCAATCGTTGAAGAGCTCATTCTCCCTGCAGCAAGTGTTATGGCCCAAGTTGCGATGGATAAGAAATAAGTGAAAAAAGTTCCCTGTGTCCTGTGAACGACACCGTGTCCCGGCGGATCGGCCATATGTCAGTTAATATTATGGGACAAGCTGTCAACAAAATAAAAGAAGCAGGTCAGTTTGCTTGGCTGCGGGATGAAATGACAGATGTGAGTGGAGATGCTCAGCTCCTGGCCTTCGGCCCCTCAAAAAATGTGTCGGATATAAACGAGCATATTCTATTGTGTGAAAGCCTGACAGGAAAGACAGCGGAAGAAGAATATGTTTCAGGTTTTATACATGAAAGACAGGAAACATAAAGGGACTGTTTGAACACATAAAAAAGGCAAACCACAATTTTAATGGAAGCAATGTATTATTAATCACGATAAGGTGAAAGGATTCACTAAGAAACTCAAATTATGGGAGAGGAAATGCCATTAGGGAGATGTGAGCCCTTTTCCACTACTCGATGCCCATCTTGCCACAACTGATTTTCCCAGGGTCTAGTGGTCAAGCTGGTGAGAACACATCTGCCCAGACTCAGCACTGGTGTCAGCCAATATTTACAGGACATTGAAGGAAATTGAGAATGACTGGAGCGGATGAGGGATCCATTCAATGTAAATGAGAGCAGCAGGAGGACCTGATAGAGTTATCGTCTGAAAATAGCATTGACTGAGTTTTAGTGTGATGTAGGGTAGGAATAACCTGAGCTGGGAAAACATGCACTGTCTGAACTGGTATCTTTTGGTTCGACCTATTTGTGTGAGGTTGGATTCAGGAGGTTCTCAAAGTGCTCCTTACACTGTGCATGTCATGGCAGGAAGTGCACATGGTGAAGGATCTAGGTGTGGACATAAGACCCAGACAAATGAAAGGACATGGGATAACAAAGATTATCCAAGAGATAAAAGAGCAAAAAGCACAACCAAGTTGGTCATTCTAAATGGAACCAAACTCCTAAAAGTAACAGAAGTTGACCAGTTTGTTGTTCACCAAAGAACGAGAATTAATAAAGAAGATAAGCTTATACAGCCAACTTGCACAAGAATAATGGGTTAAAAGGAAGTAACAAAAGAAAAAACAAGTGGCAGTGACAGATCATTTATTGTAGAATCAAGACAGGATGGTTCACAGCCGATGCACAACAAAACTCAAAATAGCACCATAACTCAAAAAGGAAATGTTTATTCTTACTATTATAATGATGATGCCTTCCTTGGAAAGTCCAGCCTATGAGGCCCTCTCCAGGAGTTTGATTCCAGAGCTCGAGCCAT